TTTTACATTGAGCCTATTGCTTTTTGCTTTCCATGAATCGTTCACTTTGAGGTAAGCAAGAGGGATGGATGCTGACATGAGCCAGGGTTGAGTAATATGAAAACCGCATGCACTAATATTGGCAACCAAGTGCAATCACTGTTAGGATTGTTAGTCTTTCAGGTCTCCATATGAGTCAGTTCTCTATTCAGTCTTCCTATACCTTCCAGCTTAAATTTACTGTGACATCTTACTGCATTCAGAGGAGTGCCTCACAAGCAATGAAAAAAGGCAGAATATCTTTAGAACGTTAGTTGGCAGCTGGTTTCGTTAAATATCTCTCCACCCACACTGTACTACATGGATTAATTTTTAAAGAAATGGCTAAATGAAGATATTAATTATTTGTATGTGGTGCATATGCTCTCATGCATTCCATTATATTTTAATTTACTATTTAACAAGTAAGCCAATATGATTTTAAATTATTTCCCATCTGGCATGCATGCTAATAAAGAAAAAAATCTAATTTATGCTATATCAATTTTAACCTCTTTTAAAAAATAGTTTCTAATTACATAGTTTTCAAGGAAATCGAACTAGAAAGAATGAATTTAGCTACCCTGCTTTTTAGTTTACATGCGTAGCCACTTTGTGTGGGAGAGAAATGAAACACTCATTTTTGAGGGTGAGTAAGGTACTGGATTCTCACTTCATTGACTATGGTTCAATTCCCAGATCTGGTGGCTTGAAAATGACAAAAAAAAAAAAAAATAGATAACAAATGTTTAAAAACAAAACCACACAACAACAAAAACACATGAAAAGAGAATATGTGCACAGTTACCTATTATTTTTCTTTTGATTGTGCTATGTAAAACTAAAATACAACGGGGCAAATTTTGCAAAATAATTATCTGAATCTTCAGAGAATTCACCTGTATTCTGCTTCACTCTGGTGGGATATATGATGATCAATTTTGGAGAAATTCTGTAAACCACACTAAGTTTCTGTGATAGTTCTCCACTTCTCTGCTTATTTACTTACTACACATACTACCAGTATGTGCCAAAACAGATTGTTCATGCATCTACAAACACATGGAGACATTAAGATTCCTAGATGGTAAATTCTTTAGCATTAATTTGCTATGGATTTTGGAATTTTTTTTTGAATTCAAACTCATGTGGTTCGTACTTTTATGGATAATTGAACACATTAATAATAAATGGAGGGGGCTTTTAGAGGTTGAGTAGACATGGACATGGATATATCCACTATGTGGACATGGTAGCTGTTACCATGTCTGCCATGAGATAATCAGCCCGGATCTGCTACTATACCTGTTGACTAACTGTGGAAGACTATACTAAAATAGAGATGATGGAGAAGATTCCTAAGCAGTTGTGTATAAGGGTAGACACAAAACCGTAGGTCAAGTGGTAGTCATGAAGAAAATGAGATGAGGAAGTGAAGAGGAAGGGTTTTACAGCGCTGTAATTTGAGAAATTTCTCCATTAAAAGAACTTCATCATCCAAATATAGTCAGTCTTAGGCTTATACAGGATTCCAGGTTGTATCTCTTCTTTGAATTTCTTTCCATGGATCTCAAGAAATACTTGAATTCTACCCTCCTGGTCAGTTCATGCTTCACTTGTTAAGAGTTATTTGTGCCAAATCCTCTAAGGAACTGTGTTTTGTCACTCTAGAAGAATTCTTCACAGAGACTTAAAACTTCAAAATTTATTGACTGATGACGAAGGGACAATTAAACTGTCTGATTTTGGCCTTGTCAGAGCATGTCTGGTACAGATCTCTAAAGTATTGCTGAACCCAGCCCATTGCCTGACTCCAACTGACATTTCGAGTATAGGCAATATATTTGCAGAATTAGCCACCAAGAAACCATTTTTTCATGGAGATTCAGAAATGGACCAACTCTTCAGAATTTTCAAAGCTTTGGGCAACCCTAATAGTGAAGTCTGGCAAGAAGTGGAATCTTTACAGTACCATAAGAAAACATTTTCCAAGTAGAAACTAGGAAGTCTAGACTGCTCATATTGAGAACCTGTATGTTGAGGCTAGCAGGTGGCTTCTCGAATCCTGGAACTGGTGGCTTGCTTTCTCACTTTCCTTCTTTCTTTGTCTATTTCTGGTGAGTGCTTGTGCCCTATAACAGATTAAACAATAATAATAATTTATAAAATTAAATAAATAATCCTTGGGAAAAAAAAGAAAAAAAGAACCTAAGAAACTCTATTATCTTGTTATAATTCCTACATATCTCATCTCACAAAGCTATGATGAGAACCAAATGATACAATGAATATTGTATGCGTTTTTACTGCTACATAGAAAATTACCTCAAATTTAGCAGTTTAAAACAATATCTAGGCCAGCACATGGCAGGGCAGTTAAAGCAGCTGGATTCTATATGGCCGATTGCATGGTTAGAGTCCCGATTTTGATGGCTTGAGAAACATGCTACATGCATGTGACTATGTGCCCAAAATCCTGAAGGAAGGGAGACTGGAGGAGAAGGAATTGTGACATGACCATACTTTCTTACTTTTCCTCCTCTCTGTCTATCTACAGCAGTGTATGCACCCTTTGGCCAAATCCAAAATGAACAACAACAACAAAAGGCCCCCATTTACTATCTCACCCTATCTTAGGTCAGAGATTCAGGGAGAGCTTAGCTGCATCCTCTCTCTTCTCAGGAATTGAAAAGAATAAAATCAAGGTATCAGCTGAGTTGCTTTTCTTTTTGGAGCTCAGGATTCTATTCCAGAGCTCTGTGGCTGTTAAAAGAATTTATTTTCTGTGGTTTTAGGACTGGAGTCCCAATTTTCCTGATAGATGTTATCGACAGAAATAATCAAGCTCTATAGAAATAATTAAAATGATTTATTCTAAGCATGAATATGAGTGATCAAGAACCTGAGATGTAATCTCTAGTTGCCCAGAGAAAGTGTTTTGGGGTGATTATATGCTATAGTTCTTCTATTTAATCCTGAGAACAAGAGACACAGATAAAACTGACAATCAGCATAGAGTCATTACATTGGGTTGGCTCAAAAAGGCAGGCCATCCAGGACCAGGGCTTATAGGTAATAGGTAGGTTTAGAAATTCTTTTGTCTTGTTGCCAAAAGACTTGGAGTCAACAGAAAAGAATGCCTGAGTTTAACTTTAACAAAGATAAGTTGTTGTGTTTTTGTTTGTTTTTGTTTTGTTTTTGTGGGGAGGTGGGTTTGTTTTGTTTGTTTGTTTTTTGAGAGGATTTTGCCTTAGAGCCCCTGTGCTCCCTGGGGAGAGAGACACAGACACAGTGAGAGGGAAAGTGAGAAATCACCACCCAGGAGGTCCACATTCCAATCCCCTCTTGTCCATTTTTTGCCTGGGATCTCGGGCACCCACAGGCACCTGGCATGATTTTCAACCCCACTGGTCCAGAACTTGATCAGCCATGTGGGAGTCCAGCAACCTAACCGCTTCACCATCTGCTGGTCCTGGTAAGAAGATGTTACTGTATACCACTTAATGCTATGCCAGGGACAGAATAAAGGGGCATCTCATAATGATTGGATCAAAGCTGTCTGTTACACAAGAGTAACATTTGTAGACATGACCCCTCAACTCAGTCCGCTTGGAAAGGACCTTCAAATAGGAGCAGTAAACAGATACCACTTCAGCGTCAACTATGGGTTGCTCTCAGCATCTAGGCACTAACCTTTCCATGGTTACTCTTTCATACCTGAAATCTCCAGTGCCCTAATTGTATTAACTTATACAACAAATTAAGGAAAAGGTAGTATGTTTCAATGCTTTAATGATATTTAATCCAGGAACAAAGATGACAGTCTCAGAGATGTTTACTTATTAAGTTGCAGGAGTGAGCTTGTAATGACCCACTTGACAGTGGCTCTGTCATTTGACTTGCACTTCTGAAGACCTCATATATTGTGTAAAAAATTTTTAAAAACTCAATAAATATACAATAAAAGACTAATGTAAGGAAGGTTGAACATAATTACCCTTTTCTTCATTGAAATAAAATTCAGAAATTTAACCTAGAAATCCAAAGATGAAACTTCAATCACAGGAGTGCTTTAAGTGCAAGACAAATTCCATTTTCACACAGAGATTTCGTAAAACTTATGTACATGAAACTAAGTAGTATTATAGAAAATAAGCAATATAGACTACAGATGATATCTGTGTGCAGTCATCTCTGCCAGTGTTGGCAGTGTGACCTTGGATGACTTACTTTTCTTCAGTGGGACTTGGTTCTGTCTCTTTAACATGGGGGTAACGTTGTCTACTTCAGGAGATGGTCTGAGGATAAAGTGAAATAACCCATGCTAAGCTCTTAAAATGACATCTGGTATATATTAAACATTTAGTAAGTAACAACTACTGCTGTTAATTGTTATGATTAGTTATTTTTAGTTATTTTTAGAGGTTTTTGCCTTAGGCATGTGTGCTACTGAGAGAGAGAGACAGAGACAGAGACAGTGATAAGGAAAACAAGAAATCACCCCCCAGAGGGGATGGCCAGGCCACAATCCCTTCTCCATTCTCCTCCCTGGATTTTGGGCATGCACACCCATTTGCCCAGTGTGATTTCCAAGTCACCAGATCTGAGTTTCAAACCATGGTTGGTCATGTGGGAGTCCAAAGGCATGACCACTGCACCATCTGCTGGTCCCTATTTCAATTATCTTAGCATGTGGCCCCATGTCTGGAACATATTAAGTGCTCAGAAAGTTATTTTCTTCACCTTTTTCCAATAACTGTTGAGTTGTACTGGTTCTGTCGAAGGTCAAGTTAGATGGATATTATCAATCTAAAATAGGCTAAAAGATGACCATTTTCCTAATTTTATTTAATTTTATATAATTTTCTTCCTTTCTGCCTGTCTAATTGTCTGTCTGCCTTCTTTTCTTTTTTCCTGTCTATCCTTCCTTTTCTTTCTCTCTTTCTCTTTCTATTCTTTCTTTATCATTTTTCCCCAAGCAGATATTATTTTAAATTTCCGAACAACTTATGTCAGCAAGTCTGGCCAAGTTATCTTTGAAGCAAGATCGATTTGCATCCACTATGTCACAACCTGGTTCATCATTGACCTCATTGCTGCCCTTCCTTTCGATCTCCTGTATGCTTTCAACGTCACAGTGGTGAGTAGAGCACGCTCTTCCACACGGCCTTTCAGCTTACGTTTACCACGTGTTTATTTTCACATTTTCCAGATTTAAATGTTTCTGGCAGTTTGTGCTTCCAGGGTTTTGTGCTCTTTTTATCAAAGATGCCACAGTGCCCAATCATATGCAGACCATTAAGTGGAGACACTTAATGAAATTATTTCTTCTGAGATTTGCATTACCTGTTTCTACTTATTTAAATACCCACAGCAAAGAAGAGCAAAACCCTGAATATATCATAGATACCGACTCACTACACCTAACTTTATGATAGGAAAACTATTTGTTGGGTCATAAGCATCATTTGACATAGGATATTTGCAATTCCGTGGAGAGTTTGAAGATTATCTTCTATTTTTTTGACACTTACCATTATCCATTGGCAAATCAAGTGAAGACCAATCAAGATAGACAGGAATGCTGAAATTAAAATAAAAGAATTCAGCCACTTCTTAGAAATTCTTGTAAAAGATTGGATGGGGCAGAAACCTAAGTGGCACATGACTAGCACAAAACTCGAGAGTTCTTTTTTATGATTTTTCTTTTACTATTACATTGAATCACATATATCTTTACTGTGTATAACATTTCTTTTTCCAGCATGATAACCATGCAAATCAGTCAAGACAAAGACATTACTATCCACATCATCATCAAATAGCTTTTTATCATTTTTTTCAGATTATTATTTTTATTCTTTTATTTTTTAAACATTCAATCACTATAGATCATTTTACTTGTAAAGATAACTTACCCAACATGAAATACTTCTCAGACCAGTCCAGTTGAGAATACTGTACATGTCATCATCAACAGGTAATAAGCCATTTCTGCATCCCACTAATGCCATGCCTCTCTACTTGTTCTCTTGCTATCTTCCTCTATACTCTTCCCTACTTCCCCACCCCGTTCCACACTGTCTTCAGTATCCATAACTATTTTTACTGCCTTTATGCCCTCCAACATTTCAATCTCTACCACAGAGTAAGGATAGTATATAATAAGTAGATAACATACAGTATCTTTCTTTCATAGCCTGGCTTGCTTCACTCAGCAATAAATCATCCATATTCAACCACTTGTAGTAATACTTGTACCTTCTCCTGTCTTCTTTTAATTCCTTTTCCTCATGTCTCCTCATAGGAAAGAGGAAACTACTTGTAGTAGCTTCCTATTTGATGACTGATCCTCTTAAGCATATCAAGTGCTCTCTTTAAATAGAGAGACTTTCAAGGAGGCCATTTTAGGATATTTAATGCCATTTTTTGCTAGAGTAACCAATTTTAGCATGTAAAAATTTATTAAATATTCAAATTTTAAAAATTATTAGTTGCAACCTCTAATATAAATCATATTGTCTTTCAAAACTTTCTTTAAAGGTACAGTATTCAAAATTAAACAAAATGAGTAATGTTTCAAATAGTCATAACTGACTTTAGAACGAACATCAAATTGTAACCCTGACCATTAGTACAAACTTACGTATCTGTTAGTTGTCCATATATTAGGATTTCTCTTTTCCTTCTTACTTTCTTTCTTTCTTCATTTCTCCCTTCCTTTCTTCTTCCTTTTCTTTTCTTTATTTTTCTTTCTTTCTAAGTTGAGAGGTTGAGAGTGCCAATATCTTTAAGAGATTTATAACTCAGCTGGAAGGAAAGCTCCTGGGAAAAAATCTGGTACATAATATCAATCAGTGCTATATTGAATTGTTATCGAGATTTTCTAAAGTGCTTTTTAAGATTGAGTTTGACTAGATAAGTGTGCTATAATGAAAGTGTAATGACTTAAAAGAGGATTTTTAAGACTATAAAAGAAATCCAAAAGTGTATAACTCACCAACTGTTTAAAAAAAATTCTGCATTCTCCTGGCAAATTGTTAAATAAGTGAGGTTTAATAGAATTCCATTTTAAGTTAATTAACTGCTTTGCTACTAAGTGCTTATGATTTTTATGTTCCATTTTTTCTTTGAGCATTAAGAAAATAGGATAGCTTAAAATATGTTTATGTAATGTATAGCTATTATATAATAGAAGTATATAACATGCACACACACACACACACATTCATTAACATCCTCTTTGTATAATATTGACATGGATAAAGGACGTTTTAAAGACTAATTATCATGTTTTGCTGAATTTTAAATATTTGTGCAGTTACTGCCCTCCTACTCGCTTTCATCATCCTTTCCTAGGAACTCCAGAACAAATGCTTTATAGGGATGTAAAATACAGATCAATATTTGCATCAAAAAGGAGAAAAAAAGGAAGGAAAGGATCTTTAATAATGATGCTCTTTCCACTTTTTACAAAAGTGAGCGTGTGATTGATTACCTAACATGCCCACACTTAGGAGAACTGACTCAAGTTCTATAGATCTAATTATTTTTCAAACCCTCAATTACTTTTATTACAACTTTCCGGGTTTTTGCTTCACTCTCTATAAATTACTGTTATAAAGCAAGTTCATTAAATGGGGAATGGTAAATAGGGCTGAAAGGTAACGTGTGTAAGGGGGTAGAGACATGTGATGTCTAATCCTGACACTGTGTCCAATTGTGTAAAATAATACATACAATTGTACCAAGTCTGACTGGTAAAGAAAAGCAGATAAATCCTAATTGGGGAAGGTAAGCATTTCCTCAAACAAGTTAAACTTTCCTCGTTCATCCATCCACCTGACATAACATGTCATGAATGAACAGTCTTACAGTGGCCATAGCATTAAAGACACGGTCATACTCCATTCCAGAAACTAGCTGGCTGTCAGGTAAAGTGGACGCCATGGTGTGAGTCCAACCCGCGCTCCAATCTGTGCCGCTCTGTCTCCCACCTCAGGTGTCTCTCGTGCACCTCTTAAAGACTGTCCGGCTGCTGCGCCTTCTGCGTCTCCTGCAGAAGCTGGACCGTTACTCGCAGCACAGCACAATCGTCCTGACTCTGCTCATGTCCATGTTCGCGCTCCTCGCACACTGGATGGCATGCATCTGGTATGTCATTGGAAAGATGGAGAGGGAAGACAACAGCCTCCTCAAGTGGGAAGTCGGTAAGGGCCTACCTTCGGTCACATGCTTCATTTTTAAATGAAAAGGAGGAGCGTCCTGAATTGGGGGGAGGTGAAAGGTGCGTCTATAAATATGTTTTCTCCAAATATCAATCGGACATATTTAAAACATACTTTTTGGGTGGAGGCAGTCCAGGGCATGGTGGTTAGGGCACCTGGATCCCACATGATCAACCACGTGGTTCGAGTCCTGGACCCAGTGGGTTGAAAAACACACTAGGCACATATGCATGCCTGCCTAAAATCCCAAAAGGTAGGAGAAATGGGGGAGAAGAGTTTGAAGAATGGTCACGCCCCTGCCAAAACTAAAAACACAGACCACACAGTATGTTTTTTTGATCCACTGTAGAAGTAATTTGTTTTGAGAAAGTTTCCTGTAGTAGTTTTATACTCTTTAAAAGATTGATGAGTTAAACTTTCAAGCTGAACTGTTCAGAAAAGCCAGCAAGGCCACAGAAGTGCATAGATGAATACAGACCTAGTAACAGTCCGTCACTGGGCAGCTGCTCTGTGGTTTGTTACTACAGTATTTTAAGACATGAGAAAATGATCATTTGTATTCAAGATGTGAGTTAATAGAAAAGGTATATTACCATTCCTCTTTTTAAAAAAGAGAGAAAGAGAGCTATTATCACACACTTCCCAGTTTTAGCATATATTGGGGATTTGTGATGGTAGACAGAAGTGGATATTTATGAATATGATTTGCAAATTTTCATGTCCCCATAATACAGGGTGAGTTGAGGAGACATGTGCCAAGTGTCACATCATTATGAACAAATGGATGTGAACGAGTGGACATGAGCCTCTTCTAAAAGTTCTATCAGCCCCAGAGTATTTATAGCAAATGCAGATCCCCAACCCTCACCCTCAGTCCTGAAATACCTGCATTTTTCTCACAGCCATACCTTTTAAATAATCTTCATTGCATCCCATGCAGGATTTTTTTTTTCTTAATCTGACATTTAATCAAAAGAATCTGTTTTCCAGTCGGCTAAAAAAAAATCCTTCACTTATTTTCTCCACCAAAAATCAATCTTGAACTTTTGAAAGCAGCTCAGGTCTTTGGATAAAGCCACAGGCGACTCCCAAGAGAGAAAAATGTCCAGACATCTTCATCCCAGCACTTAGTGGCACGATGCTCCTGGAACGTCCCGTGCTGGCTCTCAAGAATGCCATTTTTCTCACCCTAGGGCATATACGAAACCTTCAAAGGGCATCAATGTGGAATGCTCTGAAGACCTTAAGAAATCAGGTTCATTCAAGAGAATGACTCCCTTGTCCAGGTTCTTTAAAAATTTCCCCCCAGCCATCTCAATTCTATTCCTGAGTGACACAAAGCAACTAATGTGTTTTGATCATTTTTATTTCCAAATAGTTTCATTTTTTATTATTTCTTATCAAGCAAGGTACTTCTATGCCTTATTGTGGATCTTAATTCTTAGAAAGGAAGGAAAGGGAAAATAAACCTGCAGAATGAAAGTAAAAATTTTCTAGGGGCCAGTCGGTGACATGGTGATTAAGGCAGTTGGACTCCCACATGGCTGACCATGGTTTGAGTCCTGGATCTCGTGGCTTGCTCTCTCATTTTTCATCTCTCTCTCTCTCTCTCTCTCTCTCTCTCTGTCTCTGTCTCTGTCTCTCTCTGGTCACCCTCAAATAAAATAAAATAAAATAATGACAATGAATAAAATTTTTTTAAATTTTTTTCTATATTAAAATGAGATCAGATAAGAAAAAGAGAGAAGAATTAGTTAAAAGGAAAATTGAAGCCAAATAGTACTGGGGTTAAAACATTTTCTTTCAATACTGTTCCCTTTTCTAAAACCTTGTCCTGAAGGGCTGCTCATCACATAGTCTTGCATTGGCCTGACTGCGCTCAGTGAGTAACAGCATGAGGTCTCTGCCCTTTCTTTTGAGTCCATATGAAATTCGGCCTTGTGGTCAGCACCTGATTTCTTTTTAGAACTGACCTAATTTCCTTCAGGTCCCAGACCTATACACTCATGTTAATTTGTAAAGCTCGTCTAGTCTGACAGTCTCCAGATGGGGAAATCTAGCTTATTCACGCTCTCAAATCTAGTTATATGAGGAAAGCTTTTTGTTCCATTTCCAACAAGCCAGTCCTGCTGCAGACATACGGTCTCGCTGTATGTGGTGTTTCTTCTCACAAGCACACACCGTATCTATTGTCCATCCAAAAAGAAGCCCACAACTCAAACTGCCTCCACGCTGGCCCATCCGCTCGCACTTGTGGTCCTCGGTTACAGCTCAGTATAATGGGTGAGAGGTTGTCAGCTGGAACTCAACCCCAGCGAGAGAGCACTGGCACAACGTGGTGATGGAAACTCATTGGTCCGTAGCCCTCTCCTGCCGTCACGGCTCCATCACAAAGCAACTGTCAGATGTGCAATAATTTCGTTCTCCTGTCTAGCCTCAGTTTCCTCATCTATAACAAGAGAAAGCTTGCCATATAACTGTAAGACCTATTTTAGGTTCTATGATTTATGATTGTGACGGATAAATGAACCCAACAGCATAGGGTCACATATAGAGGTGTGTGTGTTCATGTAAGTGATCAGTTGCAAGCATCCATATCAACTATTTTGAGGATGTCATCAAGTACACCCCATGATCATGGCCTATCAAGAAATTGATATGTTTCACTCAGTTACAATAAAAATAACTGAGCATCTATCTTCCGAGAATTAGATTTCCTGTCTAAACACCTCTTGGGATATGATTAGGAAGGTGGTATGCTTATGTCTGTAAATATTGGGCTTATCGGCTTGGCTACAGGGGACTTTACCTTCCCTTAAAATTACTTGCAGTGTTTGTTCATTTAAAACATTATCCATCCACGATGTGGACACAAATTAAATAATTATAACCATCGCTACCTAATTTTATAATGAAACAGTTGAAAGTCTAGGCTAATTTAGTTTTTAATATGTAATTTTCTGCTAATAATATGTTTTACCTTTTTGCTTCAATTATCACCAAAAATTCATCACACAAATAAAATTTGGTTAGAAAGTATGCTATTCTTTAAAGTTAACATTAGATGTTTAGAAAAGTTCATTTTCCCAGGAGATACAAAGATTAAAAAAAAAAAAACATAATTCTTAATTTACCTGAAATGACTTTCTTCCTTTTGTTCTTGGCAGACACATTACTTACAGGTAGAGAGAACTGTAGTATTTTGATTAGACCAAAGCAAAGTTAGTCTTTAAAAGATGTTGCAGCTGTACGTCTTTCTTTGGAAAGAAGTAATAATTATAGATTTTTATCAGAAGTTGGTTGTAAACTAATTTTCCTGGTGTTTTTACATATTTCTATACCACGTTTTAAGGAAGTTTGAGGTTTGCCTTACTGTTTATGGGATTTTATAAGTGGGGGAAAACTTAGTCCAACTCTTTGAATTTATGAAGCTCCATGATGGAAGAGGTCATGTCTACTGTGTTTGCTGCTGTATCCCCACTGTGGGGTATGGTGAATGGCAAGTGTGCAAAAACAGGTTGAATAAATCAGTCTTCGAGATCAGTTACTAAATGACAGTGATAGGGTACAAGAACCTAGATTCCCTAACTCCTTATCTATAACTCCTAATAATTCTGACTATTGGGAAAAGATAGGGAATGGTTATTTGGCAAACTGTTTAGGCTAGGAAGATTGAGAACAAACAGGGTAATCACATAAGGTTTGCACATTCATTCCAAAAATAATTTTTTTGAGCACCCATGACATGTTTAGTCCTCTGTTATGCATTGGAGATGCCAAATATATATATATATATATATATTTGTGTGTGTATACACACACACACACACACACACACACAATACATATTAGATGAATGAGGAGTCATGGTGGTAGTAAAGTGATGAGGCTAAAGAGATAGGCAGGCAGAGATAAAATCTTATTCTTATTGCAAGAAAGAGAGAGAGAGAGACTCTCTCCACTCCCCTGCAGGGCGTGGTCACACAACAATCCTTTTTCCCTCATTTCTCCATCCCATCAGGATTGGGGCATGCTTGCACCACATACCCATCATGTTTCTCAAGACTGGGATTCAAACTGTGGTCATTCTTGTGGAATTAGGTTCCCCATGCACAATGTCTAACCACTATACTACGGACCGACCTGAAACCAGATCTTTATAGACCATTTGTGCTGAGATGAAGAGTTTTGACTTCCTCCTCAGGCTACAGCCAGGCATGAAGTTTTCTCTTAATCAATGATACTTTGAATATAGAGCACCAACAAATAGCAGGAGATGTTTTGCTTTGCTTTATTTTCAATATCCATAATATAGCACTAATAATAGGCTTACCTCATTGGGGTTGTCTCTATTAAATTAAACAATGTATGTGAAGCATTGAACCCTGTACCTAGCACCTAGTAACTGCCCAATAAGTACTAATTACTATAACTATCACTATCATTTTATTCTGAATATTATTTTAATCAAAGAAAGCTGTCACTAGTCAATGTTCATAATTCTATATGGAAAGGTTGTTAGGAAATGGTTTAAAAATTGTTGCTTTCCAGACTTAGTTGTAGTGCTAGACAATAAAATATATGCTTTTGTGCATATTCAAAATAACTTATGTGTACCAACTTTCTATTTGAAAATTTTGCTAGGCAAAAATTACTAATCTTTCAAAAGACTTTGCTTTTGAAAATTTTAGCAAAGTCTTTGGACTAGGAAGATTGAGAGGAGAACAAACGCCTGTATATATTAGAAGATTTCCCTCTCACAGCTCACACAGGAGACACTTTTACATCTAGACTGTAAACTTGCTGGAAAAATACCAAACTTTTAGGTAATTTAGATATAGTGTTGCAACAGTAAGATTTATCACTGCTTTAAAGAGATATTCACAGCTAAAGCTGAAAATGCTTTATGAAATTTAATATTTTGGTTCTTAAGATAGAAGGCTTTGTTTAACCATGAGAGAAGTTCAATAAATACCTAAGTA